TTTGGGGTTGGGGGGGTTTGGGTGCTGAGTTTGGTCCCTGAGCGTGTCCTGCTCCTTGAGAGGGATTTGTTGGGGTAGAAACAGCTTTTTTGCTCTTTGGGAATGAACAAGAACAAGCTTTGGGGCTCGGCCTCCTGTTCCCCCTGTGTTTGCTGGTTGCTCTACAGCTGCCTGCAGTCGATTTTCACACGTGCAAGCGGAGTGTAAACCACAAACTGAGACCATAGAACTGTATTAAATGAAATTTAGGCAAAACTCAGGTCCCAGGGGATAAAGCTGGCTCTGTGAAACAAGAAAGGGCTGCAGATTCGGGGTGCTGGGAGCTCACTTTGGAAGGAGCAGGGCTGGGGTTGTTTTGTTTTTTTTTTTTTGCCTGACCCCAGGGCAGGGCAGTGACCTCTCTGAACGTTCTTTCCCTGCCTCAGATGAAGCTGATGATGATGATGACCCCGAGTACAACTTCCTGGAGGATCTGGACGAGCCGGACACGGAGGATTTCAGGAACGACCGTGCTGTGAGGATCACCAGTGAGTTGGTTTGTTTTTTGGGTTTTTTTTGGGGTTTTTTTGGGGAATCCTGAGTGTCTGCCTTGTTCTTGACTGTAATTAAATTCCCCCTCACAATCTTCAATTTATTTTATGAAGATACCACTTTTCCATCTTTGCAGCAAAACCGTGTTTGCTTCGGGTGTTACTGCGGGTTAAGATAACTTTGAGTTTAATCGTGAAAACGAGCTCGTTTTGACTCAAAAGCACAACACAGCATCTCAGTGAAGTTATTTTTGGCCCGGGGGATTATCAGGGGGTTGGTCCTCTCTGCAAAGACGAGGGTTTCCCCTCTGTGGGAGAGAAGTTCCTTTAAATGACTTAATATCACGGCAGGCTTGGTCAGAATCGGAATATTGGATTTTTTTTTTTTAAATTCTTTTTTTTTTTTAATTTTCGCTCGCAGAGAAGGAAGTGAACGAGCTGATGGAGGAGCTGTTTGAGACAGTAAGTGCTGGAGGGAGGGAAGGAGCCGTCAGAAGGGGGTGGGCTGCGCCGAGGCCACCACGGGGGTCACTCTGGGCTTGGGGGAACTCCCTGAAGCCCCTGCAGAGGTGACAGCAGGTGCTGAGATGCCCACCCTGAGTGCTGCTCCCTGTCCCCCCTCCCCACACAGTTCCAGGACGAGATGGGTTTCTCCCACGTGGAGGACGAAGGCCCCGAGGACGAGGACGTGGTCACCGAGCCCCGGCCCAACTTCAACACCCCCCAGGCTCTCAGGTGGGTGAGGGGCTTTTTTTTTTTGGGGTGAAAGGCCCTCCCACCAAGGGAGGAGCTGCCTGGGCAGGTGTTTTTATTATTTGTGGGATTGGGCACGGATTGGATGCTCCACCCTGTTTGGTTTTTTTTTGTTTATTTTTTTTTTTCCTGGGTGCCACGTTGAACTTTGCTGCTTGTGATGCACCTGGAGAGAGGTGACAGTGGGTGGAAATGTGTCCCCTCAGAGGGAGGGACACACGTTCAGAAGGGTCTGCACTCGAAGAAGCAGCCAAGGCCTTTCAGAAGGGGGATGTTTTCTCACCTCTGTGCTGACTGGAGAGTCACAGAAGGGTTTGGGTTGGGAGGAACCTCAAAAGATCAACTAATTCCACCCCCAGGTTGCTCCAACCCGGCCTTGGACACTTCCCAGGGGTGGGGAATCCATAATTCCCTGGGCAAGCTGTGCCAGGGCCTGCCCACCCTGGCGGGGAAGGGTTTCTTTGGAACATCCAAACTAAATCTTCCTCTTCTTGCAGGGGAGGGTGAAGTTCAGTTGGTTTTGGGATGGGCAAGAGACGCCTTGAGGGTTTGACCAAGTGGGTCAAAACCCTAAAACCATTCCATGATTTCTTTCTGGGGATAATTCTGGATAATTCTGACTGCAGGAGGGGGTGATGTCTCCTTGTTTATGGGGCAGAGCAGCTCGAGGTGCAGCTGTTCCTGTTTGGGAAAGGAGCTAAAACGAAGGCTGGAGTCTCTGGATGCTCCCCCTGGGATGAGCAGTGCCAGGAGGGGAGCTCAGCAACTGCAAAACCAGCTACAGGCTGCGAGGCCAGGAAGCTTTATTCCCCTCTCTTTTATTATTTTTACGCATTTGGCTGCGATCATGGGGAGTTTTATTCGTTTCTCCTTGGTGTGGGCAGCCCTGCCTGGTTTTATTTGTGTGGAGGATTTTTAGATGTCCCATAAAACATCTTTTTTTTTGCTGGGTTTGTTGTTGTTTTTTTTTTAATGACACTGCACCAGTGGAACAACTCGACTCACGGGTGGCTTCAGGCCTGTTACAGAAGGGAAGCTGCTAAGCAGCAGGAATCAGGATATTAACTGGTGTGGCTGAAATGAAATAAATAAAAATGAAGTCATAAATAAAGCAGGGGGTGGCTGAAACTGTTTT